AAATCCCAAAGCAAATGATTTTCAAATGTTGAACCAAATAGATTTTTTTGCAGAGCTTCGAAGTGAAGAATGCATGCTTTTTAAGAGGGTTCATTTTGTCTTASGTTGAAAAGAAACTGAATCAAGTTGTATTCAGAGGTTTGATTTTGTCGTATAAGACCGAATCCAGCATTCTGATTGGCTACTGATCTATTTATTCATGACAGACCAATGTCTCATCAAATGAATCGATAAACTGAAATTAGATCATTTGGCTTAAATATTAAATATACTTTTTTGTTCTTTTGTAGACTTTCAGAGCTTTATCAAACTGTGACAAAGAATGGGAGATTGCATTTTCTTCGCCGATTAAAGCCAAATACCTGCGTATTAGACCCACGCAATGGAAAAAAAGACCAGCTTTAAGAATGGAGTTATATGGATGTGAAGTAACATGACAGCCGATACACTAAAAAAACGATTCGCCCAAACAATCTATGGACGATCGGCTGAAAGCTCTGGGAACTTAAAGACTGATATAATTAARCATTTATCGATATATACGGCACTTATACGAAACAAGTTGTGTAAGAGAATGGAAAATGCACTAGTTACATAATTTTGAATTATTTGCTTTCATCACTAGATGACGTAATACTAAATACCCAGAAATCCTTTCGGTTGTGCATTCTCCGTTTTCTAACGATCTTTTTTATGTACAGTAATGCGTTTCAAGCTAGTTGGACACAAAAGAAAATTTTAAAACATAATCGTTGTGTTATTGTTTAGTTTTGTYTTATTTGATACAAGTGAAAGGGCTATGACCAACCGTCATGCAAAGCAGTCGTAGAATTTTCTATACAGAAAATGAGCGATCTTTTCCTCCGCGCCGCATAYTTGAACTTTACTCTCTTAACTGATCTATCTTTCCTCGAGCTTCCTGTAAGGCATTCTTAGTTGAAGTAAACTTTTTGTCTGCYGTTTTGTCATTCAGTTGTCTCATTGTCTGAGACAACAAGAGAAATGTTCTATCAAGAAGAAACCAATGAACATACTTTGCACCAAAAGCACTCGATTTCCGTGAAGAAGGCTTCACGAGGCGATGTTTTTTCAGCTGAATTTGTAGCAATTCATTAACTGTTTGTAAATGTTCCTCCCATTCCGAATCATCCTTGTTTAACTGCTTTCGAAGATCACCTAAGCAAATGTCCTCACAAGAYGCGATAGCGGTGGGAATCACCTCGTCTATYTTRTGAGCAGAAACCAAAAGAAGTGCTTCAAAACCTAGTTGCTTAATGACTATATAAGCACTGTTAATTGCTTGTTCATCGACGATCTTTTGAACGCCTTCGAGGACATCAAGAGGCAGAACCTCCTCAACCCGTCTCTTGCTCAAACGATACATTGGAAAGTGATCATTATAGAAGCAAAACATTGACGAAGTGAAGTTTTTAGCTAACTTAACTTGTGTATTSGTTTGGGGCTTTAGTTTTTTYAGACCTTGCATAGTAACAGCGAATTTGGTAAAGAGATCTGATAGGTCCAAGTGGTATTTCGCTACCATTTGCGTTGCACTTTGACCTTTAAGRACCAAACCCTTGAGGTCCCCTTTCGCTTCTACAGCATCAACCAACTGTTCAAACTTTGGTAATGTACTCARAATCTTGTTTTGAATTTCCGACAACAATTCATTGATCTCCGCAAGCTTTTCTATGACGGGCTTTCCATCCACTTCCATCTTYTGTGCCTGAATGGCATGACGGCCTTGAATCTCAGCAAGTTCGCCATGACAGTAATTACAGACTTTTAAGTAAAGACATTTGGCTGGCTCTTGATCTGGCGAACCAATAATATTAATAAGACACCATTTTACGACACCGTCTTTGTCGTCTAAGTACACTATAAGCAAATCAGCTGAACACGACGAGCAAACGACTTTACCRCAAACCCTGAAAATATGACAATAAAGGATCAATTATAACTTCGAAATGACCAGGTTCTTCAATTCTCGGTAGATGTTCCASAAGTCTGTGCTAAGTTACATCTTATTTTCAAAGTGGCAATAAATATTTTATGCTGGAGARCTCAGAATAGAAAGTATGTCGTTGTAGAGTGGAGGCATATTACCTGCAATGTGACTTGAGCTCTGTTAAAGTAAATGTCTTGTAACAAAGAAGACACTGTTCAGACTTTTCCTGGAAAATCAAATCTTGTCAATGACATGATTTCCAGGATTTATCATTGTATCATTGAGGGGTCATAGTGACGTCATAGTTGACGCAAAAGAAGAGAAGCAAGAAACAAATTTCCATGTCTACTGCATCTAGGGAAATAAGAATTAACAATAGAAAGTCACAATTCTAACCAATCATATTGCASTATTTTCATAAMAAGTTTCATCGCAAGTYACATGATCTACTCACAATCCAGTGTTTCGATCTCTGCCATTCAGGAACTTTGACAGCTCCAAATGTWCCAGTAACAAAGTTCTTTATTTTCCAAGAACCTAGTTTGGTTTTAAACCCTTCAACAAGCCTTTGACACTCTAGCTCAAAATTGACTTGGTCTCCACTACRTGTACTTGGTTGACTTGTGCCATTTTTCATTGAGTGGGCCATCTTTTTAAATGTTGTAAACTCATTAAACTTTGTTCTGACAGCTCCAMGTGTCTGGGGCCCAACATCATAACACTGTTTGCAAACCTAAACAAAACAAAATAAAACTACAATGAAACATATCCATAGAGAGAATTACTGAAAATACAAAAGAAAATCTTTACTTTGATGGATTGGCATGCGATTAAATCCATTAATTGATAAACCAAACACATAAACACAAAACACCCATCCATACASTTTTGATCAAGGAAGCAAATCAAAGCAGCAACTAGTCTCCTTCACAGCCTCCCCTTTGGTTGGGCTTCCTGTCCCTTCCTGGCTGCGAAGGAGACTAATTTTCAACATGCTAAACTAACTTTTGGTGAACCAAAACCTTTGACCTTAGCATTCTTTTTGTACAGTGATTATAATTTTATTTGTGTGTCGCGGAACTCCCCCCTTCCACCCCTTCCCCTTAGATCAATGAGCAATGTTGCTAGTTATCTTGGAGTCAAAAAAGGTTCACCTTGTAACCATATACATGCAACATTGCCTTTAGGTGGTCAAGGGGAATGCATTTGTCATGTGGTGATGCTAAAAATACCACACTTCACAACTGTGGCCCAAAGATTTTGGGAACAGATATCCATAATGGTCTTTATATTGTACAAATTAATTTAATTGCTTGTGCACATGTGTAATTACAAAGTTTGAAGCACTTACTCTGTAAAGAATACCATCACTATCTGGAGTTGCAAAAACTGAAAGACGTCTTCTGTATGTGCTACAGTTACCACAAAAGACTTCACCGCATCTATAAACACAGACAATGGTGTGCAAGATTTTAAAACCATGCTAAAGTAAAAATATATGGAGATAAGGATTTTTGTCAATGACATAAAATGAAGTTGTGAAACTTCTAGTGGGGTTATCTATCAATCCTGACCCTTTATACAACTGGAACCTGGCTTTAAAGCTGTCTTTTTACAGGTTTTCCATGTAACATTACAATTGCATCTATATTGTCTTGGATGATAATTTCATTTCTATCAAAACTTTTCCTCACAAATGTTTTGCATTAAGATGTAC